TTCATTTAAAAGAACAAAAGTTAAGTTACGAGCTAGTGGTTCGTGAGATACAACCGGTCAAAGTTGCAGGCATTTGCAACGAATTTATAATACTCAGAGTTACTGAGGCTTAAAATATGGTAATACCTCCGAATTTTTTATAACTGCATCGATTTCTTTGAAAATTTCAAATAAAGCTTATCTTACACTCCACTTTTAAGGGGTGAAAACTACCCCTTATTGAAGAAACTGTGAAAAACACGGATTTAATTATTTTATGCACTTAAATATTGTTTATTCGCATAAGGTAAATATTGTAATGTAAAAATTATTTATTCACAATTGTCAACCCTTAAAACTCTTAAAAGCTACTACTTTTTATAAAAATAATATGATTAAAAAAAGTCGTAGCAGCTTGAGACATTTCAATTATGTATTTAAATACAAATAAAAATTAATACCCTAGCTATACAATAATATTTTATTTATTGGAAATTTTCAACCCTTAAAACCACCCTTATGATAAAAATGAATTAAAAAATATTTTTATCGGTTTGAAACATTTCTTGAGTGCATTTTATTTTACGAAAATTAATATTTTGCATATAAAAATAAATAACTTTTTATTATAATTTCAACAACCAACCTCATTTTTTAAAAATTAATTTAATATATTTTTATTGGTCTGAAACATTTCTTGAGTGTATTTTATTAAACAAAAATTAATTTCTTGCTTATAAAATAACATTTTATTATAATTTCAAGATTTCAACCCTCACAACCACCCCCTTTGTCAAATATGAATTAAAAAATATTTTTAACGATTTGAAACATTTTTAGAGTGCATTGTTTGTAGACAAAAATTAATTTTTTACTTATAAAATGAGCCTACTTTTTTCAACCCTTACAATCACCCATTTTGATGAAAATTAAATCCTTAACTTAGACATGAACGTAAATAGAAAAAATTTAGTTTATATTATATTAAAATTTTTTTATTTTCCAAAAAACTAAAAATAAATAATATTTATATAAAACGTACTTACTTACTTACTCCGTGGCGTTACAACCCTTCGTGGGTTTTAGGCGACTCGACAACATGCCTCCACTGTTTTCTGTCTTGAGCAACCTCCATCCAATTCTCCACGCCCATAGTGCTTAGGTCTCCTGCTATATTATCTCGCCACCGGAGACGAGGGCGTCCGCGGGGTCTCCTTCCAGTTGAGACTTCCTGCCACACCAGTCTTACTGTTCGTTCGTCAGAATGTCTTCTGAGGTGTCCTGCCCATTGGAGTCTTCTGGACTTTATTTCTTTTATGATGTTGGCGTCTGGGTAAAGTTCTTCAAGCTCTTTATTAGTTCTTATCCTATATTGTCCTGATGTTTCATCAAGCACCGGACCAAAGATCTTCCTTAGGATTTTTCTTTCCCAAACACGTAGTCTCTCTTCATTTGCCTTTGTCATCGTCCACGTTTCGCTTCCATACATCACAACGGGTCGTATGATTGTTTTATAGACCTGTATCTTCGTACGTCGTGTTAGTTGTTTTGATTTTATAAGGTTTTGGAGGGCAAAAATACATCTGTTGCCGGCCTGAATCCTGTTGTTTATTTCTTGTGATCCGTTATTGTCTTCAGTTATTGTTGTTCCAAGATACTTGAATTCCCTAACGCGCTCAAAGTTAAAGTCATCGATGGTAATGTTCTGACCGATTCTGTCTCTGCTTTGGTTATTGCGGCTCATATACATATATTTCGTCTTGTTTTCGTTGATTTGGAGCCCCATCTTCTCTGCTTCCTTCTCAAACCTTACGAAAGTCTCCTTCATCCTTAATCGCGTGTTTCCTATTAGATCTATATCATCTGCAAATGCCAGTAGTAAGTTTGGTCCTTCTCGATGAAATACTGTATTCGGTTTTTCGATTCTTGCACTTCTGATTATGTGCTCCAGAGCTAAGTTGAAGAGTTGTGGTGAAAGTGCATCTCCCTATTTTAGTCCATTGTTTATTTCAAATGTCTCCGAGTATTGTTGTCCAACTCTCACCTTACATCGTAACCGTTCCATACACATCCGTATCAACCGGACTAGTTTTTTTGGAAAGCCAAGTTCCTGCATCGCTGTCCACAGTCTGTCCCTACATACTCTATCAAATGCTTGTTTAAAATCTATGAACATCTGATGAAGCTCACGATCAAACTCCAAGCATTTTTCCATTATCTGTTTTATTGTGAATATCTGGTCAATTGTAGAGCGGCCCGGTCTAAATCCGCATTGATAATCCCCAACAATTTCTTCTGTGTATGTTTTGGTTCTTTCTAGCAGGATGTTTGCAAGGATTTTGTAGGTGGTGTTTAGGAGTGTTATTCCCCTGTAGTTAATACATTGCTTTTTGTTTCCTTTTTTGTGTATTATATAAAACGTGGTATAATATAAATTGAATATCTATTCATCAGATACATAGATTCATATGTATATATTAAATGTCTATTAGTTCCATCGAAATGCTCCAATGCTCCAAATTATAAAATTTGTCCATGCTCCAAAATTTATTCTAAAAAGTACTATTGGTTTTTTTACAATAACTCGGTTAATTTTGATGCTACACATGCATAAAAAAACGATTTTACAGGTAATATTACGGGCTATAAGTATAGGAATGTTAAAATACTCTAAAATCCTTCATGTTTAAAGGGTGAAGGGTCAAAGGGTCGGAGACCAGTGGTTCATGCGCTATAAAGCAAACTTCAACCAACTATATCTCCATTTATCTCCGTTATTTTTTAAGCTACAAAAAAAAATTAAAAAATGCAAATTTTTGTTGAAAAAAAACCTATTTTTTGTATTCTGTCATCTTTTACGTATCTTTAACAGTTTGAAGTTATTATAAAAAAAACGATTTTTTTAATATTTACAAAAAAAAATGTAAACATACTTTTTTCAAAAACTGGGTATTCTAAAGTGGCAAAACTTTTGGATAATACAAAAAACACTAAAATAAAGTGAATTCTATAAGGAAAACAATTTATTTCAATCCTAGTGAACATGACGTTAGTTTTATTGCGTTTTTTTTACAAAAATTTGAGAAAGCCATCGTTTTTTTGATCGATCTCACGTACAGTTGGTACAAAGGACCTTTACCACCACTCATTTTAAAGGTCTTTTCAAGCTCTTTTAAAATATCATATAAGTTTTTGTCGAAAAATGTACCCGTTTTCAGTTATTTAACTTTAAATACTCGTATTGAAAGACAAAAACAAAAACAAACCTTCTTTGAAAAGCCATAACTCAGTTAATATTGAACTGAAAATATTCTTTTTCCAATCTTTTTGTTTTTTTATGAGCTTTAATTTTAGTCGTTACACTTTTTTTGTGATAAAACTCTTAGTTTCAGAGTTATTCTTACAAAACCTTTGAAAAACATGTTTTTTTTTTAACGAAAAATGACACTTTTCAACAGCGAATAACTCAAAAAGTATTGATCTAGCGAAAAAAATGTTTACTACATTTTTTGTTTGAAATTTGTCCTTTTATCGAATAGCGTAGTTATTTTGAGTGAAAAATTTCCACCCTCGAAAAAGGGGTGGCAAACACCTCCAGGGTGGAAGCGCACGTCGGCACTATATAACTCTTGTTCCTTGAGTAATTATTTACCAACATACAAAATTTCAAATGAATCGATTCAGTTATAAAGAATTCGGAGGTAAAAACCCTCAGTAACTGGACTATAAACAATGGGAGGATCTTTAAACTATTACCACTTTCTTTCAGAGCTCTTTTTAGTTAAAATTTTTTTATGTCTACAAGATACATATGATATTAAAAACCATCGGCATTGCACGTGAAAAATATTTAAAAAATTAGGTTGAAGAAAATTGAATTTCAAAATTCAAACTCGGTAGACGTAAAAAAATGTCATCAACTTAAAATGAATCGATTTTCTTCATTATTATTTTAATCCGCTGTAACTTGAATAGAGACATTTAAAAACGCATCACCAAATCCCAAATAGAAATAAATTAAGTTATTTATTCATCCGTCGTTAGAGTCGGAAATGTCTCTGAACCTCTAAAAATCATACGAACGAGCTAACTTTGTTAAGAATTTTGGGAACCAAAAAATATGCAAAAAAGACTGCTACTTCTACCCCCGGCTTCCCCCTAAAACCACCCCCTCCTAGGAGAAAAAAACGAAAAATATCGATTTACTAAGAATCTGTACGTTATAGAAAAGAATATTTCAAATAAAAAATGTAGCTGATACAATTTTAAACAAAATTGTTTTTTAGCACTTTTTTTGTCAAAAGAACGATTCTCTCATAAACTGTCAGTTATGATTGTCATAAAAAGTCCAGAAGGTACTCACCCCTGTTCTTGATTCTTGTGCTATTTCATACCGTGTGGTGTGCATTGGCACCATTGCCAAGAATTAATTGACTGTTTTTTCTCTTGCACCATCCCATGATCGTGTACGTTCTCTGGAGGTGGATGGTTTTCAGAGTCACCCTAGAAATAGGCCGAGACAATAACAATTTGCTTCTTGCCTACTTCTGTTGGCATTTCTGTTCAAAAATTAATTAACATTAATTGAATTAAAATTATTTGCGGCCACTTTTTGACTGAAAAACCTGTTATAAATGTATTTTACATATATTTTTAAATATATGTAAAACGTGAATTTGATTAACTATTAATTACTTATTAATGGTCTATACACTTGTCTGTATATACCATTAAAAAGAAGCTAATTAGACTGGTGTGTGCAATAAAAATTGTAATTTGGGCCTTTCCTTACTTTAATAGAATAATATTATACATAGTCTACCTTATTGTTTAAAACTTTCTTAGAAAAATTTTGAAAAATATACTAAAAAAAATCATAAATACCATGCGCTAACTTGCTATTTGCTACTTGTCAAGAATCTAAAAAATAGTAATTTAATTTAATTATTGACAACTCAATACAACATTTTTCTGTGAGTACTATTTTAACATTTACATTTCGCTTTACATTGTTTTTGCAGGTTTCAGACGTGTCTGTTTTCGAAGTAAACATTAGATTCGTGGGAGGATTGTTGACGTGCTACGCCTTTACCGGCGATACTTTGTTCCGTGACAAGGCACAGCAAATTGCCGACAAATTATTGCCAGCATTCGACACCCCCAGCGGCATACCCAACGCTCTGGTTAACTTTAAGACAGGGGTAAGTATATTTTTCCTTTTACTTTACTTTTAAGTATTTTTTTAAATTAATTATTATATATGGATATTACTGGGTGTTCACCCCATTGTTCAATGTCTATTCGGACAGTAGCGCACCTAGAATTGTCCTCTGGGGGGGTTTTGGTTGGGCACCGAATTTTTTTAAGCTACCTCCACCATTTAAGTCCTTAAAATTTGTAAATAACAGTGTCGGAATAGGGTCCTGGGGGGTGGGTTTGAACCCAAAACCCCCCTGGGTGCGCCACTGTATTCGGAAGAATAATTAAGAAAGTCTTAAAGTTTTAAAATAATATCTCAATACGCTGATGATACCGAGCTGATAGCAGTAAATATCGTCGACCTAGAAATTACTGGGTAAAGTAGTAGACGAAGCGAAGGATTTAGTAAATTCGTGAATACAAAGAAAAACAAATTTATTATAACTAATGTTGTAAAACAACAAGTTATATTAATATTAGTTTCTTTCGTTTTCACAAATATTGGCTTGAAATATTTGTCTCATAAATGCCTTATAAGAGTCTTGGGTTATAATTACTGACGCCGGCCTGTCGACACTTTTAGATAAAAATTGGTTGAAGCTGTGTGCGGTACTTGGTACCTCCGCTATCTCATCGTCTAAATAAATGCATTAAAAAGTGCTAGTGCATTAAAAAAGAAAGGAATTTAATAAGCTTTTTACCAACAATTGGTGGAGATCAGACAAAGTTGCATCAACTAATTTAAATACAATACAATTACAAAGAAACTTATCAATAATATCAACTTATATGTAAGATAGGAACGAATAGAAGAGTACAAAATTACAATGCGTAGCAACAAATATCAAATGAATACACCCTAGAAATAAGTATGGAGGAAGCACGCATTGCGCTTAAAATCATAAAACAAATACTGTGTAATCGAAACCTAAGCCTAAAATTGAAAGTTCTTATGCTCTTAGCCTTGTATGGTGTAGTGGACGCTAAATAAGCAATGCACAAGTAAGATGCAGGTATTTGAGATATGATCATATCAAAGGATGTGGAAATTCTCCTGAAAGGTCATAATAACTCACCAAGTAGTATTTGACAGGACGAACAAACAAAAAACATATCAACAGGTAAATATCAGGTAAAACAGGTAAATATCAACTGGTACAAGTAATTATTATCCAGGAAAAGATTGAACGTATTGTGTCTTCCACTTGTTGAATATTTGATCGGCGCGCTATTTATTTCGATTCTCATGCTAATCTCGATTGCAAATAAATTTAAAAGCAATTTTGGTTTATTAAAATCTTCTTTTTCTTCTAATGGCGCGACAACCCTTTGTGAGTCTTGAGAAACACTTTGTGAGACACTTTCCTTCGCCACTGTCTGATGTTCATGGTTTTAAGATCCTTGGTGATCCCATGTTCCTATGTTCAGGAAACCATGTTCATGGTTTCCTTGGGGCTTCTGGACTAAAGATGGGCGTTATATAACGTATTCGGATAAATAACACTATTATCAATAAGTATTCGTTTTCTCAATAATAGGTTACAGCAAACTGCCTATTACTTTTGTCACAGTGTAACTATAACGTAAAAAGCAATGGTATTCGAATCGGCATTCGATATGTTAACGTGACCGTGACAATATGGAACGATGGGAATCGTTCGCTCAATCAGTAACAGAATAGGATGGTCATTGTCACCGAATTTATGACGAGCTGTATGTTTTTCCACTTAATAGCTGGGAATACCACCGTAAGCACGTACGCTTATTAAGACAGAGACTATGTTTATTGTTATTACAGTATGTTATTAGAATGTGTTTGCCCTTATTCTAATGTAGTTATTTGTAGTTAATGCAATACTAAATTCTCGAGTTATTTAATATAATAATATTATACACTAATATTTTTTCCTCTCGCCTTATATTACATGAGTTATGTATATATCTAATATTTCATTTATAATTTATGTATAGAATAGTAGTTGAATCATCTATTTTTAAGCCTCTGTCAGCTGTATATGTTTAATATTTATTTGTAACAACCATCAAACGTATGAAGAATGTTTATCAATCACGGTTGAACAAAAATAAACTATAAATACTAAAAAGTATTCGTTTATTGAAAAAGATATTATGATTACTACAAGAAACTACAGCAAGCCAAGCGAAATGGAGCTGCTTGCAGTTTGGGTAATAGGCGACAAAAGTAATAGGTTACCGGAACCTATTACCTGTCTGTCACCGGAACGATCGAACCTATTACTACAAAGTAACTATATTTTCCATGACTATTCTGGACTTCTTTTACAGCTCGATTATCTGGCATTCTTTATAAGTGACCAAGCAAGTTTAGTCTTTGTGACTTTACAAATCTAATAATATCTGCGCTCTGCATTAGTTCATCCAGCTCGTGGTTCATTTTAGTTCTCCACGAACCATCGCTGCATTGGGTTGGTCCAAATATCTTCCTTAGTATTTTGCGCTCAAATATTCTCAGTTGATTTTCATCAGTGGTTGAGAGGATCCTCGTTTCACATCCATATGGGAAAATTACTGTTTTGTAGATTATAAGCTCAGACTCATGATTCAGTAACTTACTTTTCATTAAGTCTTTGTATGCATAAAAGCACTTATTACCGCTAAGAATCCGTGTTTGTATTTCTTGACTGATGTTGTTGTTGTCGAACATCCTGACTGATGTTGTGACATATTTTTAGGTATGGTTGTCTACCTTTGTTGATTCGATTTTGTGCACTCCATGTATTTTGTTTTGCTTTCATTTATATATAGACCATAGAACATAAGCTTTCGTTGCGGCTTATTCTGGCAACATCATCCGCATATGCTAAACATAAACTAAACATTTAAATTTTTGTTCATTCTATTCTAAGAGACACTCAGTGTTTTTCACTGATTGTGATAAACTAACGTTCGAATATATAAATGGAAGACGCATAATTAAAACCTTATTCAGAATGGAATTTGAAATACGTGAACTAAAACTTTATAAGTTTTAGTATTATATAATTATTATATTTATTTTTCTTAGGTGAGCAAAAACTATGGATGGGCTAGTGGCGGTTCCAGCATTCTCTCAGAATTCGGTACACTCCACCTAGAAATGTCGTATCTTAGTGATATTACTGGAAAACCGATTTACAGAAACAAAGTGGATCATATAAGAAAAGTGTTGCGTGAGTTGGAAAAACCAAAGGGATTGTATCCTAACTATCTCAACCCAAAGACTGGAAAATGGGGACAACGTAAGTAAAAAAATATACATGATTACATATATATATATATATATATATATATATATATATATATATATATATATATATATATAAGAAATACTGGATATTATTGACTGTCGATTTAAACAAACAACACAGTTTATTAGGGTTGCAGTCAGAATTATTGGCCGGGATGTTAAAAAAACACTCTTTTGACTTTTTGTCGAGCTTTCGGAATATTTTTATTCCTTTTTCAAGACACTGTAAAAGACAATTATGTAAGTATTTAAAAATAATATCACCATTCTTCAGTGTAACTTACTAGTCGTTGAGATTATTTTTGTAAGCATTGAACACTCAACATTAATACCACACATTAAAATATACAATTATGGACAATACATCATAAAATTTTTAAAAATTTGTTGTTAAAAATAGTAAAACTTGATTGATGGCATGTTTTACTGGTGTATATTAACTCATACAGAGAATGGAAAGAAAAAACAGTGTAATTAATATGTAATTAGGTGTAAATTGATGTTATCTTTCTTTACAAGCATTACTAGAGGCCTTTCTTAGGTGTCTATAATTTTTAACCTGTCTTAATGGTATGCAACATATTATACAGAGGTGTAATTTTTCGTACAGGTAAATATTTATTTTATTTTTATTTTTGGTGTTTTTCTAGTAAATAACAATAAATGTTACTTAATTTGTCTATATCGGACTTTTTATTGATACAAGATGTGCTAGATTTTATGAAACACATTTCCAAAAAAACACGTTTTAAATGGTTCTTTTCTTTTGCCAAAATACAGGAATCATCGAACTTGAACTCATGTTTTAGAGTTAGTGCATGTTCTGTCAATGCACATGCATTGATTTTTTTGGTTTTTATGTCACTGCGATGTGATATCACCCTGCTGTGAAAATTACGAGATGATTCTCCTATGTAAATTTTATTGCAGTTACTACACGGTATAGAATAAACAACATTCGATGACTCCTGTATTGTGAAAGGATCTTTTGTCTTTGTGTAAAGCTTCGATACTGTTTTCACATTTTTGGTTGTAATTTTTAAGCCACTAACATTTTTAAAGATGTTCATTAGCTTAGGTGTCAAAAATGGAATATAGGGTAGGCAACCATAAGTTATTTTAGATGGTAATATTGCTGCGTTATGTGTCAATGTCAATTGTCGGATCTCATTGTTATGAAAATTTTGGTTGACAGAAACTTGTGAAGGAAAAGGAGAACCGAAAATGAGTTTGTTTAACAGCCCTATGGGATAAGAATTCTCTTGTAGTATGGATCTCAACTTTTTTAGTCCCTTGTCTCTGAATTCTGTATGTGACAAATTGATAACCCTAGTTTTTAAAGCCAAAACCAAATTTGTTTTCATCTTAGATGGATGTTGAGAATAAAAGTTTATGAAACGGTTACTGAAACAAGGTTTACGATACCACTCCGTCTTTAGCATGCCATCCGACAGACGGAGTGGTATCGTAAACCTTGTTTCAGTAACCGTTTCATAAACTTTTATTCTCAACATCCATCTAAGATGAAAACAAATTTGGTTTTGGCTTTAAAAACTAGGGTTATCAATTTGTCACATACAGAATTCAGAGACAAGGGACTAAAAAAGTTGAGATCCATACTACAAGAGAATTCTTATCCCATAGGGCTGTTAAACAAACTCATTTTCGGTTCTCCTTTTCCTTCACAAGTTTCTGTCAACCAAAATTTTCATAACAATGAGATCCGACAATTGACATTGACACATAACGCAGCAATATTACCATCTAAAATAACTTATGGTTGCCTACCCTATATTCCATTTTTGACACCTAAGCTAATGAACATCTTTAAAAATGTTAGTGGCTTAAAAATTACAACCAAAAATGTGAAAACAGTATCGAAGCTTTACACAAAGACAAAAGATCCTTTCACAATACAGGAGTCATCGAATGTTGTTTATTCTATACCGTGTAGTAACTGCAATAAAATTTACATAGGAGAATCATCTCGTAATTTTCACAGCAGGGTGATATCACATCGCAGTGACATAAAAACCAAAAAAATCAATGCATGTGCATTGACAGAACATGCACTAACTCTAAAACATGAGTTCAAGTTCGATGATTCCTGTATTTTGGCAAAAGAAAAGAACCATTTAAAACGTGTTTTTTTGGAAATGTGTTTCATAAAATCTAGCACATCTTGTATCAATAAAAAGTCCGATATAGACAAATTAAGTAACATTTATTGTTATTTACTAGAAAAACACCAAAAATAAAAATAAAATAAATATTTACCTGTACGAAAAATTACACCTCTGTATAATATGTTGCATACCATTAAGACAGGTTAAAAATTATAGACACCTAAGAAAGGCCTCTAGTAATGCTTGTAAAGAAAGATAACATCAATTTACACCTAATTACATATTAATTACACTGTTTTTTCTTTCCATTCTCTGTATGAGTTAATATACACCAGTAAAACATGCCATCAATCAAGTTTTACTATTTTTAACAACAAATTTTTAAAAATTTTATGATGTATTGTCCATAATTGTATATTTTAATGTGTGGTATTAATGTTGAGTGTTCAATGCTTACAAAAATAATCTCAACGACTAGTAAGTTACACTGAAGAATGGTGATATTATTTTTAAATACTTACATAATTGTCTTTTACAGTGTCTTGAAAAAGGAATAAAAATATTCCGAAAGCTCGACAAAAAGTCAAAAGAGTGTTTTTTTAACATCCCGGCCAATAATTCTGACTGCAACCCTAATAAACTGTGTTGTTTATATATATATATATATATATATATATATATATATATATATATATATATATATATATATATATATATATATATATACGTTTGTAAAATACCATTTTTAGACCACATGTCCATGGGAGCTTTAGGAGACAGTTTTTATGAATATTTGTTAAAATCATGGATACAGTCGAATAAAGAAGATAACGAAGCGAGACAAATGTTCGATGATTCCATGGCAGCCGTCTTCCAATATATGCTTAAAACGTCTACCAATGGTCTTATGTATTTCGCAGAACTGAAATTCGATAGACCTGAACACAAAATGGACCACCTTGGATGTTTCTCGGGTAAGCAAAAACTGTAACTTTTTTTATCATTTATTTATATTTATACTTATGGATATCCTAGGTATTCATATTCGGAAGTGTGCAATATTCCGGTAAACGTTATCCAATTTGTTTTTAAATACTTGATATCCCAATCTATGGTTTTGAATACTTAATATTGATTTAAGAAGGCGGTTACAATGTTTTCGGAAATATACAAACGAAGTCTATATCAAGGTAAATAGTCGGTCAATAAATCCCGGACGTAACCAATAATGATCCCCTCTATCGATACAATCACTTCCACACTTTTATAATTTTTCGATGTCGTTCATGTTGAACGATTTATCTTTGCCTTCAAAATAGGCTTCAGTTTCAGCAATTACTTCCTCATCGGAGCGATATTTCTTACCACTGAGCATTTTTTTTTTATCGGAAAAAGGGTGGTAGTCACTGGAGGCTAGATCGGGACTATACGGTAGCTATAACAAGGCAGGCTTTTTCTTTGTGGTTCCGGTCTTTAAACGCTCCAATAAACCAATGTAGTAGTGGTCGTTGATACTTCCTTTATATTTCAAATATTCAATGAAAATAATTCTTTGTGGTCACAATTTTTTACACATTTTAACACAATCGAAATGTCGATAATTTATTAGAGTCGCTATCTCGTGATTAGGCTTCGGACTTATTGACTGACGTATTAATATTCAAACCCTTATAATAAAAATTGCAGCAGTTGCTTTCATTAATTGTTGAGCAGATGGGTGAGTTATAAACTAAAAAACTTCTTGGTTGCTCATCGTTTTATTCGAAATATCTTTATTCAATGTATCCATAATCATTAATTGTGCTACAGCCTATAATACGAATTAAAAATGGGCCTGACGTTGGGCGCCAATCTAACAGGAATTAAAAATGATTGCTATGAATGATAAAGTAACAAATTATGCAAGTATAGGTTCACTACATAAAATGTATAACTTGATGCAGCTTGGCTAGCAGGGTATGCCGGAGAATGACCAATTGACGCTAAATATTAAGAATGAATGTAACAAATTAATAAAAACAAGTATAAATGGGCGACAGTAAGAGTACTGAAAGCAGGAACTTACTACAGAATGTTTTGATCGCAAGGAAAGTATTATTATATAAAATCCTTTATAAAAGGTATCCATATCGGGCTTAATCACCCACCGTCTTGGAAATAAATATTCCCCCATCAGTGCTATCTGGATCCACATGTTTGAAGCCACTAGATATATGGGTAAAGAACATTTTAATGCTATTAGATTAACTTTGAGTTATATTTTTTAAAATTATAAACTATGATGTTTAAGTTACAACAGTAATTGATGATAACATGGTAACGTAAGACTCCACTGGAGGTTGCTAGTCCTTAGAAAAGTGTCTGTGAGGACTTTTTGATAGGAACTCTCAAGTTAACTTACAAACAACAGGAGGATGCAGTACATATTACAGTTTCCGACGAATTTAACCCTATCAATACACCTCTTGGTTATGGGGAGTTTCAAGAAACACATAATAGCATGAAAGATACTTCACCAGGTTCAGACGACATACCAATACAATTTATTATAAAACTCCCCATAGAAGCAAAAGAGTTTCTACTTAAAATTTTTAATGTTATTTGGCCACAAAAATCGTTACCCTAAAAATATGGAAAAATGTTGTTATTCCTATTATTAAACCCAATAAAGACAAATTACAACCAGAATCATATCGTCCTATATAATGAATATGTTCGTCATGTAAGCTTAAGGAAAAAATGGTCAACAAAAGATTAATATGGAACCTAGAACATAATGATCAATTTACCATTGAACAAGCTGGCTTTAGACCAGGCAGATCTACAAACGACAACATTTTTTTTTTTTTTTATTTACAATTTGCTTCAACCACAAAAGGGTTATTAGCAATGAACAGTATTGATATCAAATTACAAAGCTTATATTAAATTTGGTTAATGAGTCCTATAGTACGTAAAAAATTGAGAGTCTTAGATGAATTATTTTCACTTAAACAATCTTTAAATGTAGTTGGTAACTGTTGATGTTGTCGTTCTATAACGTAGAGAGGGCAGTCTATTATTATATGTTGCACTGTTAGTTCACTATCACACACATAACACATTGGAGGGGCTTCCTTCTTTAATATAAAGTCATGGGTGATCTTCGTATGACCAAGTCGTAATCTGGACATGAGCACTTGGTCTCTTCTCTTAGTAGGATGTTTCGACGGCAATACATTTTGTTTGATTTTTCTTAATGTAGAGGTTGATTTATTCCAATTTGTTTGCCATTTTGTCATGATCTTGTTCTTAAAATATTGCTTTAGATCAGTATGAACGCAAGTAGTTATGATGTCTGTTAATGGATGCTCACTCGCATTTTTTGCTAATATGTCAGCTTTATCGTTTCCAGTTATCTCGCAATGTGAAGGTACCCAGAGGAACTGAACTAATCTTTGATTTTGTTGGCATATCAAGAGTTCCGACTTAATTAAAAGCAGGACAGGATGTTTGGGGTATATTTGCTTTAAGGCTGTTAATGCACTTAGGGAGTCGCTAATGATTATTGAGAATTTAATGTCATGTGTGTTAACAAATTTTAATGACTGGAGGATAGCAAAGAGTTCAGCTGAAAATATGGAAGTTTGGGGAGGGAGCTGGTAGGAACTGTTATAGTTATCTGTTGTGAAAGCCGCTCCTACTCCATTTGCAGATCTGGATGCATCGGTATAAATATGAATGTGATTATTAAAATAATTTAATATCTCTAATAATTTCTGATTGAAGATTTTTGCTGGTGTGACACATTTCTTGAATGCAGATAGGTTTGTATTACAATCAGGGAGAACAATTGTCCATGGTAGCATGCTTTGACTGACTTTAAAAATATTGTAAGTGGGTGGAATTATTGTGTCTAAGCTTTGTAGCGTTGCTCTAACTCGATGATAAAACGGAGGATCCAATCTTTTTCCCCTATTAAATGTCGATGGAAATCTATCTGTAAATGTGTTTTTATAAACAGGTAGCTGTGGGTTAGTTGATACTCTAGAGGCATACATGAGGCTAAGGTATTCTCTCCTAAGTTGAAGGGATGGTTCGCCTGATTCAACATACATACCTTCAACTGAGCTTGTGTAGTGTGCTCCCAGTGCAATTCTAATTGCTGAATTATGAACCGTATCTAGCACTTTTAATAGTGAACCTTTGGCTGAGTTGTAGGCAACAGCAGCATAATCTAGTTTTGAACGGATTAGGGTTTTGTATATAGTCATAAGAGTTTGGAAATCGGCACCCCATTGTTTATGAGAGATACTTTTCATTAAGTTAAGGCCGTTTTGAACTGACAGACGGAGGGAGTGGATGTGGTCTTGCCAAGATAGTCGGTTATCCAGTTTTACTCCCAAGAAGTTAATCGATTCTGAATACTTTATTGGTAAATTTTTTAGGTAGAGTTTCGGTGGATTTATGTATTTCTTTGGGGTTTTACTGAAAATCATTGCTTTCGTTTTAGTGGGTGAAAATTCTAGGCCAGTAGTATTAGACCAGTTCTCTAATTTGTAAATGGCTTGCTGTATATGGGTCGTCATTGTTGATATATTTTTACCACGACAGAATATAACAAGATCATCAGCAAATAGACGGGGTTTGACTAATGGGCTAAGTGACTTAGCGATGTCATTGATGGCAATAAGGAAAAGTACAACACTAAGAGTAGACCCTTGAGGAATACCATTTAATTGGATTTTGGAGTCTGAAAGGAAGTTGTCTATTCGAACTTTGAAGTTTCGCCTATATAAAAAATTATTAATAAATTTGATAATATTTCCTTTAATCGACCAACTTGACAGAATTTTTATGATATCTGATCTCCAAATTGTATCCTATGCACGCGTTATATCAAAAAATACAGCCAGACATACTTGACCACATCCAAATGACTCATGAATTACGGATTCAATATCCACTATGTTGTCTAATGTAGATCTGGACTTTCTAAATCCACTTTGTATGGGGCTAAGTAGCTGTCGATTTTCTAGGTACCACGTTAGTCGGTTGCTTACCATTTTTTCAAGTACTTTACACATAGTAGAAGTTAGAGAGATTGGTCGGTAAGACTCTGGGTCCGATTTATTCTTGCCTTGTTTAAGAACTGGTACAATAATGGAATCATACCAATCAATTGGGAAAACATTATTTGTCCAAATGAAATTATAGAGAGCCAAAAGATATTGTTTGCCTTCCGTTGGCATAGCTTTTAAAAATGTCGTAGGTATGTTGTCAGGCCCTGGGCTAGTGTCTTTAACTTTGTTTAACGTTTCTAACAGTTCATCCATCGTAAATGTAACATTTAGAGGTAAATTATTGTGGTCATCAAGATTTATACAGGCATTATTAACTTTATTTTTATGGACTAGGAAAATTGTAGATAGATTTTCGTCACTGCTATGTTGTTGGTATACGTTTGCTAGTACGGAGGCTATTTCTTGCTTAGTTGAATAAATATGGTTATCATGTTCTAGGTAATGAATCGTGTTAAATGATTTTTTCCCGTACATTCTGCTTATCATTTGCCAAACCTCAGAAGTCGAGGTAGATGAATTTAAAGATGATACATAGTTTTTCCAAGCTTCTTTCTTACTCTTTTTTAAGGTGTATCTACAGTACGCCCTTAATCTTTTGAATTCAAGCTGGTTATTTAAAGTTGGGTGCCTTCTAAATTTATAAAATGCCTTTTTTGAATCTTTAATGGCTGCCTCGCAATGAGAATTCCACCACGGGACTGGGGCACGTTTTTTTGGAAATTTTGAATAACCTATGGACTCGTGAGCTATTGACGTTAAAAACTGTACGAAATGGAGTGCTTTGGAGTTGATATCAATATCTGTATCGAAGGGCTGAACCAACTGAGAAATTTTTTGTGAAATTAAAGAGGAATAAAGAGACCAATCTGCATTTTTCAAACACCATTTATTGGATGGAACTGATGAGGAGA